CTGTGCTTTCAATTGATCTTTCTTCAGAAGTAGATCCCCATGCTTTTGTTTAATGGCCATTTTTCAGAAGTAGGTCACCTCTCGGTGGATTTGAACCTCCAGCTTCTCGGTTAGCAGCCAAGCACATTAACCATGCGCACCGCTCAAGGACTCCTTCAGAACCATGGAACGTAACCTCCAGGTCCACACGTCGATCCCGACACATAGCGACCATATAGGACGGGGTGGAACTGCCATTGTGAGTTTCCAACACTAACAAAATACTGATTTCATAATTACCACTGACGCTTTCAAGGTTCAGTAAAAAAAGGGGGGGAATCTATGCCTATTTTTGTATCTCACGGCTGTCTAGTCGATGCCAACTCAGTGACTCTATAGGACAGGGGAGAACTGAGTTCCTGAGACTGTCACACTTTATAGGAATAGGAAGCACTCTCTTTCTCCCTTAGGGCTCCTGGTGGGTTGTGAACTGCTGACCTTGCAGTTAGCCACCCAATGCGCAGCCACTACCCCACCAGGGGTTTCAGCCAGAGGAGCCCACAGATAGCCAAACGCCGTACAAAATGGACACGTTCTGTTGGTCTTTTATGAGCATGCAGTTTGAGGGAAGCTAAGGGTTATGAAGACAACGTACAGGCTGTGGGGTAGTGTGCCAGCTGAGGTTGCCTGGGGAGTCATGGAAAGCTATCTGAGGAGCTGATTGTCATTTAAGACTGAGCTTGGGCACTGAAAATTAACCAGACCAAGGAAGGTGCAGGTGCCCTCCTTTAGTAGTGAGAAGAGACCTTCGGGTGGGTGGGTGGGTGGGGGGTACACTGTGCATCTGAGCACCTGCAGGCACCTCATCAGTAAAGGAGAGAGGGAACAGTGTGAGGACAGAGGTGTGGACACACGTCTGATCCTAGGAGATGGGCCGCGGTGAGGAGTTTGTATTTTCTCCAAGTGCAATGGGTGTCTCTGGATCATTCTGTGCAGGAAAGGGAAGTTGGTGTGTCTTTGTATTGGAAAGCTGATTCTGGTGGCTACAGGAATGGATGGGGCGGAGGTGAGTAGGGCGGAGGGAAGCCAGCAGTGAGGCTTCAACAAGAGATCACGGTGAATGAACTGTGGGCATTACAGGAGTAGGGGAAGGCTTGCTCTGGTGCGTAAGAAGGAAGGAGGGAAAGGAGAAGTGGTTCCAAAGCCTCTACCTTGAGGACTTCAGAAGCTAATGGTGGCCAGAGCTCGGATGAACCTCCAGGACAGTTTAAAGACATGAGAACTAGGAGGCGGCTGAGGGATACAGAGAGGAGGAACCCGGTTTAGCAGCAACAAAACCGGGAGCTGAAGGGAAAGGTCTGAGCTACAGACACCGACTTGGGAGGAGGACTGTTGGGCAGGCTTCCTCCGCACCAGGCCCTTGTCTGGGACCTTTATACATAGGATCTCATCGAATACCTACAGTGTGGACAATCAGCAGGCATCACGATCACCCTCATGTGCTAGGTAGCTCATGAGAGGCTAAGGAATCAGCTAAAGGTCATAGTACATGACTGAGGTGAGAATTGAACCCAGCTGGTCTGCCTTCTGCGTCATGGCATGAGACCATCAGGCTATCCTGGCTCCTCTCACCAGCACTGAGTCATTTAAAGCCCGCGTTAGTGCGCATCACAAACCCCAGGAGAGTGTGATACAGTGCCCATTTCTGGGCCCTCCCTCTGGAGATGAGTGGGGGCTTTGAACTGAAATTTCTAATAGCCACCCCTGTGATGTGGAAACAGCTGCTCAAGAACCTGGCATTGAGGATCACAGACGTAGGAGACGGGGCTATCCCCACTCTTGTCTACAGAGACATCCTGTTGAACTCTAATCTCTCCCCTTTCTGCTGAACCATAATTTCCTGGGGAGATGATTGGGAATTATAATTGTAATGTTTCCCACATTTTTCCTAGTAAGAGGCAAGTTTGGCAAGAAGTACCTAAGGCAAATTTGTTAGAACAGTTTTCTTCTCTGGCCACACTGTGGAGTCAGCGTTAATAAATGCTGATGACGGGGCCGTACCCTCGGATGTGTAATGCCATGGGTCTGCGGGTAAAGTGTGGACACTGGGGTTTTTTAAGTCCCCCCCACCCCCAGTAATTCTACTAGCAGCCAGTGTTGAGAGCCACTGGTAGAGTGGAGACTGGCCACTCTTGAAGGTCAGTGTGCATCAGGATCACCTGGGGGTTTTTACAAATGCCAACGACGGGGACCAACCCCAGCGTTCCTGGTTCAGGTTCAAGGCTGGGTCTGAGAAGTTGCATTTCTAAAGCATTCCGAGGTGGTGCTGTTGATACTTGTCTGGGAAGCTGTGGGATAGAGCACAAACAAAACAAGGTCTAAAGGAGGCACAGAGCTTACACATTGGGCTGCTACCAGCAGTTCGAAACCCCCAGCCCCACCACGGCAGGAAGATGAGGCTTTCTACTCCTATACAGAGATACAGTCTTGGAAATCCAAAGGGGCAGTTCTACCCTGTCCTCTAGGGTCCCTGTGAGTCGGCATCGGCTTGATGGCAGATGAATGCTGACCATGGCTAAGGAATGTCAAGAGTTAGATGTGATCCAGCCAGGGAAACAATGCTGACGGTCGTGGGCGTGGGAAGATGACAATTTCAGGAGCGAAGAGGCCAGCTGTGTAGAATGCTGTGGGCTTAGCAATTGAGGAACCAAGGCCCAGGGATCACCCCTTGGGTTTAGTAAGTGAGGCCACTATACCATCTTAGTGAGTTATTTGGGGTTCATGAGCAGACTAGGTAGGTCTGAGTCGAGGAGACAATGAGATGTGGCGAGGGAGTGGACACTAGTGTAGGGAGCTGTTTGGGGAAGAGAGATTATTTGAGCTACCTCATCATGGAGTTTTTATGTTGTTTTCAATTTTCCATTATTATACTAGTTCCGAGAGCACTGCTAGACACCAATCATTAGACACACGTGTGCTTCCTCCAGACAAATTCCTAGCACTAGAGTGGCCAAGTCAAAAAAGAGTCATGTTTTTGAGGCTTTCATGATAGATATCAAATGGAGAAAAGGCGCCCTCTAAAATGGATGGTTTATTTCTCTGCCCTTCAACACCTCGTGTTCCTTTATCTTTACATCCATACCGATCTCACCTGTCAAAGTTCTTGTTATAATTTTCGACTTTTGGTACTAAAAGTGGAGTTGTTTTTCACGTGTGCTGCTACCAGTATTTCTTCTGTTTGTTGGCTGCACGTTTGGCTCCCGCGCGCGTTTTTCTTGGCGGCAGTCATCATAGTTCTTATTGATCCGTAGGAGCACTTTATGTATTAAGAGCATCAATCTTGGTGGGCTCCCTGTCTAGCACGTAGTTTAGCATTTAGACACGTGCCTTTTGAATGTTTTAACCATCTTCAATAACGCAGGGCGGTAGGGAACCTCTTACATGGTTCTCTCTCGGGGTTTCATGGCTTTGCTTTCAGCGTTATGTTGTAAACAGTATCATATTTGCAAACATAGTTCATAAACATTTACCTAGATCGTGGTGTTTTGTTTTTGTACTTCACTGAGATTTGTATTCCATCTGGCATTTATTTGGGGGCAAAGTTAGGTGTTTTTCATAGACCTATGCAATTATGCCAATACTCTTGAATAATCCAATATGACCCTGCTGCTTTGAAATGCTACTTTTATTCGTGTTGGGGTTGGCTGTTAGACTTTCTGCTTTTGTTGCTACAATCAGTCACCCGTCCCAGCTAGGATTAAGGAAGAATTCGTCTCCCATCCATAGCTGACTTCTAGAGTGTTTTCAGTCTGGTTCCCAGAGAAATTTCAAAGGGTCATTTTAAATTTTTTTGTCCCTTCCTCCTCAGAGAACCACCAATAAGGATGTTTCTGTCCTCTTGTTGGATTCCATATATTAATTCCCTCAATACTTCCAATGGGGCACAGAGAAGACGTTGCAAAGTGCAGTCTGGGGAGCACCCCACCCTGGTCATGTACAGCATGTAATGAAGCTCTGAGACCAATTGTGTTTCCCGGGAATAAAGTGCTTCCAAAGAGTGGAACATGATTAGAAGGAACCCAACAGGTGGAAAGCCTCCCTTCCCACCAAAACATACTCGGAGACATCTGCGTTGGCATCAGAGCTTGCCCAGAGAAGGCAAGGCAGGCTGAGTGGAGCAGATCCCCATTTAACAAGTAAGGCAGCAGTAGGTGTGCTCAGAGAGGTCGAGAAGCAGATCAAAAGTAACCAAGCCAGCAAGGGCCAGGTGTGCATCTGAACCCAGATCTTCTGCTTCCAGATCCAACGATCTTTCCGTCCCAGATGCTGACAAGAGCACCTCACGCCCAGGCTGTTTCACCAGATAAGCGTTGACTAACACATTTGGCCCGGGGGGAAATGCATTTGCTTGAACAAAAAAAAAAGGTGGGGGAGTCTCTGTTTAGCCATCCATTTCAAATTTTTATAGAAAATTGTGTAGGCAGCATCAATTATGCTTGGGCAAATTTAGACTAATTAATGGGTTGACTAAGATAATTATTGAAATTTGTCTATGGATGAAAAGAGGAAAGATGAACCATTGAAAATGCTTTTTGTTTGTGCCTGATGAGTATTTCTAAAAGAATGAGCCCACGGGGAAGTGTACGGAGTGGGAGTGGCTCAGCCCTTTGCGGGGCATGATGGTAGAGTAACCAGGCAGATGTTTTTATCAACACGTCAGGATGAGTGCCTGAAAAGTCTCCTATGCACAAATACATATGACGTGCACCTTGGAGCTGGAGATCGGCAATTTATTGTGGGTCAGCACAGTGAAGATCACCCTTTATCTTGGACAAACCACCCTGAGAAGGGAAGCATTATTATCCCCCATTTCAGACCAGGCAGTCAAAGCACAGAGAGGCTGAGCAGGTTACTATTTATGCAGTCAGTTGGGGAGAAATTCAGTCCAAACCTTATATGCCTCTTTGGATGGTAATTTTCTTATTGGGGCCATTGTTAGAGAATGCCTTCAAAATCAAGTATTTGACATCTGGTGCATAATTTTTATTTCCTATCATATACAGCAAAGTATTGAAAGAAGTTTTCTTGATTATCTTTTATCTATAGAAGAGGAATCTCGGCTCCATATGGAAGCGATACAAAAGTGGAATGGCCAACATCTTTGGAAGTGAGGCGCCCTCTGAACCAGTCCAAGTTTGTGCCTAGTGTAGAGACAGCATGGGTTAGTCAATAACGCTAGCAAGTGGCTGTGATCTTGGGAAGACTACTTAACTTTTCAGAACCCATTTCACTTTTGGATTTAATTAATATGATTCTTGATGAAAAAACCCTAACCAGAAGGATAATTTAATGGCACACATAAATTCCAAGCTAAAGGGTAGGATTGAATCTTCTATCTCTTTCTTTCCCTCCTTGCCTCTCTCACAGCCTTATGTTACCATTGTTCTCTTTACCTTAATTTTCCAGACTCCCTTCAAGAAATGGAAAGGGTAGTTCTGGTACACCAGTAGTCTTCCATGACAAATTCTTACTGGTCTTGCCTAATTTACATATTTACCTCTGTGGCAAGGTAACTGGCAACCTACCAAGGTACCATAGAGCAGAAGGGTGCCACTTCCTTTGGCAAGAGTGTACAAAAGCCCAAACCATAGTTATCTACCTTAGAATTGCTGTTACATCTTATTTGTTCATCAGAGGGGTGGTTCAGGGTTTCACAATCATCTACTAACCTAGCCATTCTTTACCCATCGATGTGCAATTTAACCCTTAACACCGAACATATTTCTGTTATATACTTTTGTGGCATCTTCTTCAGTCTGTCTCAGTTTTGAACTTGACGAGTAACCTTGGACTGCTACGTTCAGTCAGCAGTTCAAACCCACCCGCTGTTCCCCAAAGGATTTACAGCCCGAGACCCCACACATGGGACTGCTAAGAGTCATCACTTACTCGATGGCAGTGGAGGTTTCAATATACAATAGGCAAGTCGCAGCTTCGACCTTTGGTGGACTTGCAGTTTCTCTTATCCATTTAAGCTCATCTAGTTGAGACTCCACTAGAGCGTTTATGGGATTGCACTGAATCTACTTTTCTTATATCATGACCTCTTCTCCGATTTTTCCATGTCCATCAGTCTTTAAAATGTTTTCTTCATATCGGTCTTGCAAGTTCCAGGTTAATTTTAGACATGTTCATAGTACAGTTTTGTAGCCACAGCATGCAGCGTATCTTTTTTACATTGTTTGGTTGCTTATCGACGTGGGAAAGCACTAATTGATTTTTCATTCTGAATTGGTCCTATATCCAGCTACCTAGTAGCCCTTTTACTGACTCTATTAGTTTATTCAATTTCCTGGCCATACGTTTGCATTCTAACAGCTCACATTTATATGTGTTACTTTCCACGGTGGTAAAGAGAACAGGTGTCAAATGTGTATCTCCACCCTAAAGGGACAGTCATCACTGGAGGGCTTAAGTAGATCGCGTTTACCAAGTTAAGGTGTTCTTTTGTTCTTTACTTGCTGAGAGATTTTATCAAAAGCAGAAGTTGAAATTTGTCAGATTTTTTTTCTTGTCATCTGAGATGATAACATGCAATTTCCCCCTGAGACTGTGTCTGCCTTACCGTTAATAAAAATAACAACTGTCTCCTTATGTGTAAAATAAGAGACCCGTTGTGTGCTAGACAAATAAAATCCTTTGGGAGATTAAGTCGCTCACACTAACTAAAGGAGAGGAAGACTTATAGAGGAGCAGATACTTTTAATGATTTTTAGGTTTTCCTGTTAGCAAACTATACACTTTTCTCAACATCCTTTCTCTGTAAGTGCTCAGATATATTTTTAAAAGTGATTATAGAAAAGGTTATTTTTCTGAGGTTCATAAGGCATTAAAGGTTGAATACAAAAATGTCCCCTTAATTCTATATCGCCCAGCTGCCTACATCCCTGCAATAATATTCATACAGAGTTGATAGCTACAGGTGTGTTTCTGTGCAAATAATAGCCCACCACCACCTTTTATCCGAAAGTGCTCACTGACCCACTAGTTAGCACCTGGTTTATGGACTTACCACAGTATGTTGGAGTTCATCCAATTACATAGATTTTTATGGCCGTTGAGTAGTTCATATCAGGATGTAATGGTCCCCTACTAATAGACATCTAAGTCGTTTGCTGTCATTTGTTCTCATAAACATTATTTCATGCATGTGTGAGTATATCAGCAGTGAAAATCCTGAGACATAGTTGGTCCCCAAAGATTTGCCGATTACCCCCGCGCCCACCCCCCTCTGCAGAGATGGCATGCGTTCGCACCTCTTACAGCAATACCTAAAAGAGAGGCTCTTTCTCTGGCCACTCCCACAATGTGTATGATCCATTTGCATCATCGCCAATGGCTTGCAGGCCTGTTGATCAGCATCTTGTCGTGTGTAGGAGTCGTTCTGATTTTTTCCTTCCCTGTGAGCTGCTTTCCCCCTTGATCTGCAGGGTGATGGCTTGGGGTCTTTCTGGCTCGTAGTAGCCCTCACAGAGTTAAGGAGACGAGGACCCAGGGAGTTCCCCTGGGCGATGAGTGACAAATCTTCCCTCTAGTCTGAAGTCTTTGCTGGGAGAGCGATATTATCTTTATGTAATAATAGGTATACATTATGTAATATAATGTATCTGGTTTTTACGGTTGGTGGGTCATACACAGACCTTCCCTACTCCAAGATTAAAAGTAAAACTAGGGCCTGTTTCTTTTTTTTTTTTTTTGCAGTAGACTCCATGGCTTGGTCCGTGGAGAACCTACCTCATCGGAGGTGTGACTTGATTTGCATTTGTTCTTTCCCTTGTGGCCACCCTCTGTGAGTCATTAAAAGAATTTACACTTCTGATTCCTTCCTCTAGATCGATGCTTAGAAATGCCTCTACTTTCTCTGAGAGTTCATCTACCGCCCTTTTCGCGCTCTCTTCTTGTGCGGAGCCTGGGGATGCTGCTGGTGGTTAGCTCTTGGTGTTTCCATTAACTTTGAATTAACATAGGACATCATATGGTATAATTGTTCTTTGTATCTTATGAATAAATGTTGGCTGTTTTCTTATCCAGGGGCACCTTTCTCCTAATTTTCAGTGTGTTTCCCCTAAATGAACCACACTTACTGATACTTCCCATAAGGCCTAGTGGTGAGGTGAGTGTTGGCCTGCGAAGGTCAGGGCAGTTCATACCCACCAGCTGTCTGCTCCTTGAAAACACTATGTGGTATTGCTAGGAGTCGGAAGAAACTAGGTGGCAGTGGGCTGGGTTTATTTATACTGAGTGATTTTCTACTGTTTCATTATCTACTGCCTAATTACTGAGATTGACTTCACGTGAGGAAGATGAGGAGCTAGGTCTCTTTGCTCCACCCTCTCATCCAATAAAGTTATATCCTAATTTTAGCTAGATAAACAGTCAATGTTTACCATATTTTCATATGTAAATGTCATTCAGAACAGAACCGTGCAGTAAATTATGATCATTTTCCCTTCCTGCACAACAATTATGTTTTCCCTGAAGCTAATATTTGCTCTGTTTATGGTTTGTTTGCTTCATTTTTATGTTTTTATTACTAATTCTGTCCAAACTTTTTGCCTTTCTCACTGCTATTGAGTGGCTTCTGACTCATGGAAACTCCACAGGAGAGTGTGGAACTGCCCCTGTGGATTTCCAAGACCGTCCCTCTGCCGGGAGTAGAGAGCTCCTTGTTTTCCAAAGGTGAGGAGAGGCTGATGGTTTCAAACTGCTGTCCTTGCAGTTAGCAGTCCACTACACCCCAGACCAGTTAACTATGTAAAATTCTGCTCAAGACTTTCAGATGCGACCATTTGTGGGTCTCTTTTCTCCCCAGTTGCACACTCTTAAGGTCTTTCAGAGCTTCCACCTGCTTTGCTTCCTCGGCTTCGCGCCTGCCTTGCCCCTCAGCAACAGAGGACATTCATCTTTGACAAGTTTTCTGTCCACCCTTGCACTAAAGTTGTCCTTTTAAAGCACTGTTTCTTCACATTCCATATTATGACTTACTTCTCAACCCCTGTCAAAACACTTGCAATATATTAGCATCCTCTCATATTCTAAAACTTGACAGTTCTATACCTTACTAGGGGCCAGTTGGTAGGTGATTTAATTCTGATAGTACATGCCCTTCATCTCTGGGAATTTGTTTTTGGAACATTTCTCTAACACTCCCCTTTCCCCAATTTTCCAAATCATTGTCTTTTTTGCCCCACGTTATCTTATAACCATTATAATTCATTTTCAGATACTCTCATATTTGGGGGGAATCCACTGAGTGACAAAAATGCATGGTTTGCATATGCCACTGCAGAAAGATCTGGAAATCTGCTCTCTCACAAGTGGGGTCACCACGAGGTGGCAAGAACTGTTTTATTCACCCTGAAAGGTCCGTTTCTTCCTGGTTGTGTTCTGTGCCCCGTCTCTCTCATCTTTCAGTCCTTGCCAGATTCTGTAAAATAGGGAGCACACTGTAGGAGCAACAAACAGAGTTCAAGGGAAAGTGTTTAGCAAGAAATGTCAAGTTTGCATGTGAATCCATAGGAAATTTAATATATATATACCCCCTACCCCTTAAATCCATACCCTCAAGCTCATTCACTGCCAATGAGTCCATGCTGACTGACAGCGGCCCTATAGGGACCGGGTAGAACTGCCCCTGTCAATTGCCAAGACTGTAACTCTTTATAAGAGTAGAAAAAAATATCTTTATCCTGTGGAGTGGCTGTTGGTTTTGAACTTCAAGGCATTTTAGCTAGAAGCACAGCGAATGGAGCTGGGCATATATTTAATCTAGTGTCAAATAGCATTATGGGAAGCTGGATGCCACAGAGCCGTGAGCGCCAGTTGAGCATGGAGGCAATGGGTAGGCACATGAAATAGTGGTCTGAATCATATTGTGAAATGCCTGGACTTGGTGATATTTGAACTTCTGGAAAACTGTGGGCGTTTGCCAGAATTCAATGGCAATCCAGGAAGGAATGTTCTCAAGAGAGTGAATGGTTCTTTCCAGGTAGAGCGGGGAGCAGGAGGTGGGGGACTAGACATGGAGGATTGTTATTGATGAGAGTAGCTCAAATAAATAGATATAAACCATTCTTAATTTGCCTTTGGTTAATACACGAGACCCTTATCAGTCAAGAGTAGAATAAATAGGAACATCCAGATGTCCTCTTGGAGCTAATTGAGCCACCCTCTGTCCCAAGCAAGGAAGATGTTTCTGACGGTGTCACAGGCTAATCCGTATGTGGCTTAATAAGTAATATCTCTTATTGGTGTGCCCTGTGGCATCACCTGGGAAGCTTCTCTCTGGTCACAGTGAATTTTTTCTTAAAAGCAGTTTTGCTCGAACCTTGTGTTTTTGTGATGGCTGATTTAAGAGAACCGTGTGTGGCTGTAAAATAGTTTCCTGCTCAGGAAAAATGCCACAGAAACTGTTGTTATGTTGAACACAGCTTACAAAGACAGCACCATGGGAAAAACTCCAGCGTACAAGTGGTTTCTCATTTCAAAAAAGATGAAATGATTGACAAATCTCATTCTGGACATCTCGTTAACTTCCCAAATGGACGAAAATGTCAACAAAAGTCATGCACTTGGGCTTGAAGACCAACGACAACAGACCATTGAAGAGATGGGGAAGTTGTCTGGACTGTCTTGGAGCTCAGTTCAGTGAATTTTGACTGAAGATTTGGGAATAAGAAGGATTGCTGCAAAATTTGTTCCTCTGGTTCTGACTGACCAGGAAAAAGAGCGTCAAGTGGAAACATGCTGGCTTTGAAAGAACAGCTCCGAAGTGACCCAGCCTTGTTTGCCAAGGTCATACAGTTGAAGAGACATGGTGCTAGTCTTACAACCCCAAAAGCAAACATCAATGAAGCCACTGGAAGATGCCATCATCACTTCGCCCCCCAAAAAAACTCGTCAAATAAAATCAAAGATCAAGACGATGCTCAGTGCTCATTTGTTTTTTTGATGTGAGGGAAATAGTGCATTTGGAGTTCATTCCACACCAGGTCAGACTGCTAATCAAGCTTTCTATTTAGAGGTTCTGTAAAGATTGTCTAACAGTGTGTGACCAAAAAGGCCTGATTTGTGGCACACAGGGGACTGGTTTTGCCCCTATGATAATGCACCTTGTCATACAACCATCTCAGTGTGCTACTTTTGGGCAAAAAATATCATGCCTCACTAGCTTCATGCGCCTGACTTACCTCCATGTGACTTTTTGTTTCTGAGAACACAGAGGGACATGAAAAGAAAGTAAGGGAGGTGCTCTCAGCCATCCAAACAGATGAGTTAGGCTAATGTTTTAAGTGTGATGGAGAATACTTTGAAGGTGAAAAAGATTTTTTTTTTTAATTTTAATACATAGCTGGAAAACATTCCATTTTGGGAGGGGGGGTACCCTCTCCTATCAGTGAGTCCTCTGGTTAAGAAGCTATCATCAGGAGGCTCTTCCATGAGTTAGCCCCAAAGACCCTAACCTCTCCTTTTGCCTGTGGTTCACCACTGCCAATTCTCAATCCGGCTCAGGTCCGATGGACTCGCAGAAAGCCGCTCTAAGATCGTGTGTGTACCCTGTGGGGTAGCTCAGGAAGGACTGTCTGGAAGGCAGTGCAGAGAGGTGGTGAAGAACAGATCACCTCAAGGTAGAGAGCTGTCCGTTGAACCCTGGCTCCGACATTTACTAGCTGCTTAACCTTGAACAACATGCCTCTTGTTTTATCCCTGTGCCTTGCTTTCCTGTAAAATGAGAATTGTAATAGAACTTTGTTGGCTATTGTAAAAACTAAGTATTTAAATACTGCCTTGCTCAATCTACATCTTGGTAATTCAGGGATGTCTTGAAAGAACCAAGCTTTCTGGGTCGGCAGGCCCACCCTTGGTGGTTTAACAAAGCCAAGGAGAGCTCACTGCTCTCCAGTCGATTCCAACTCCCTGGATCCTGTATAGGTTTCTGAGGTGAGACATCGTTGTGGGAGCAGCTGGTGGGTTGAAACCACCAACCTCGGGGGTAGCAGTCCAGTGCGTATCATGTCAGCTGGACTCACATCCACTCCTAGTTGTACTTGCAGATGCGTGGTGATGTGTCTGCTCTCCTCACTGGACGATGGTGTGATAAGGGGAGGGAACACATCGGTGGACCCTCAGAACTGAGCCTGGGACCCAGGCGATGGTCTCGGGAGGAGGGAGGAAGGAAGTCATTGCCAGTCAGATCTGCTCTTTACTAACTGGGTGGGTTTCATAGATGGAACTTGTTTTGCCAGGTGATTCTTAGAGATGTAGGTGCGGATCCAGTAGAGAGGGGCTCCATGCGGTTCATCCCTGCAATGGTCATCTTCTCTTGCTTTGTTGTTGGTGTTTACTTCTTTTTAGAGTAAGTCCAGTTACACTGACAGCCCTTTCCCACTCAGGTAGATGCTGAGCATCCCTTTCCAGTAACACACATGCATGATAGTCTCGTGCTTCCTCATCATTCACAGGACACAGGAGGAGGCGTCAAAGGTTCATGGGAAATTTCCATTGCCTCCCTCAGATTTATGAACTCATCTCCTCATTAACATGTCTTTGTGGCCTCAGAATCAGTACTTACGGACAGGTGCACAGTGGTGATACTTTTCAGTTGTCAACGGAGCAAGTTCCCTGCTGACGCTGAGCAGGGCCACACTCTGGTTTTCTTCGTTTCAACATTTGCTGGATCAAAAATTGTATTACATCTATCCAATACAGCATCGTGTCACCCCTAAATCTCCAGCCAAATGACTGGGAGGTCCTCATAGTGCATAAGATTCAGATTGTACTAGCTTATCTTAGGGTAGGTTCTCCAGATAAACCTATTGGAGCTCAAGTGCTCTAAATTCAAACACACGGCCACCCTCCAGGGCAGAGTAGAACTGCTCCCTAGGGGTTATTGGAACAGCAAGCCTCATCTTTTTCCCTTGGAGCAGCTGGTGGATTGGAACTATTGACCTTGCAATTAACAGCCCAATGTGTAACCAACTACACCATCAGGGCCGACGCTAGAGCTCCTGCGTTGCTAGCTGTCTGCAAACTTATCCCAGAGGGTTGCTGGGAGCTTTAGAGGAGCTAGTGGGGGATCCATGTGAGCAAAATCACCGCAGTCCATGGGATCGAGCTAACTGTTGGGGCTTTGGGTGAGGCGTTTGATTTTGCTTTAAATCCAGACTAGGAGGTCTTTGTCAATCTTACACGCACCACATGTTTGGGTGAACAAGCCACCTTTAGGACTCATGGTTTTGTTGTGGTTCATCTTAATATTCGGAATACCACATACAGTGGGGCAGCATATAGTTTGCTGATGTTGTTTAAAGATACTGATCCAAAGGCAATAATGAAGGATGTGTATGTATGTATAGAGGGAGAGATAGTACCTCTCTAATGATCTCTGATATAAGTCAGTGTCGGAACAAACCCACCAGTCTACTTCCTTCACGATCTGCAAAGCTTCAACGATGTGATAGGATCTCTTGGAGTGAAAATTGACCCTAGGGCATGGCGCCCCATCCCAAGTCGGGGACTACCTGTAGTAGACAGGACTCTTGTTTTCTCTGGTCTCCCTTATTTTCTGCCTTTGATAGGGCGCAGTCTTGCCCCTTCCCTTCCCTGTCCCCACCCCTCCTACTAGTGGAAAATCTGTGTGCTTTCCATCTGTGACAGGGTTGCTGGCTACTCTGCCATCCAGTCTCATTTTATAGATTAGGAAGCTGCCAAAAGGCGCCTAGCTAGTAATGGCAGAACAAGGGTAACACCCAGGCAGCTTGGTGCCTGGGTACCTTCTCCAAGTGCAAAGCTATAACTCCCTGTGTTGATTGGCTTCCAGTCAGTGCAGGGAGAGACGGCACCCAGGGCCTTTGAGAAAGGAGAGATAGGTCCCTGGGAGGGACACCCGGCAGGACTGGCCTGGTGCTGCCTGCGCTCTGGGAGCATAGCGGTTGTGGAGTTGGGTGGGCCAGATTCTTCGGCTGGCTTTTCTGGAATCAAATTAGGCTGGTGAATAGGCCAGTGGTGTTCTCATCAATTTCTCAGCCTTCCCATGGAACAGAGCCTGATTGCCTTGGCCCCCCGCAAGGCTGCCTGCTGTTTAAGGAGCAGAGCAGCTCAGGGGGAGCCGCTCGCTCCTAGAAGCCTTCAGTGATGCAGCCGGGCAGCATGGCAGCAGGAAGATTACAGGTATTAGAGGCCATTTAGGATCATTTAGAATCGAGCTGTTTTCCAAGCAGGCAATTAATCCTGTTGCATGAAAGAGAGCTGCCGGGGTGTTCGCCTTCTCCCTGCATGGAGAGGGGGGTTGGGGGGGGAGGGCTTGCTTTCCTTGCTAGCACTGGGGTTCAATGAGACATTTTGGGGCCCTCTCCTCCGTAGCTCGGGAGGAGGAGCGGTTTATAGAAAAAGGATTCCGCTCAGAGCATATAGCTGGCCAAGCTTCCATGCCTCTTCTGATATCTGGACTGAGGTTGGAGAGAAGCAATGTGGTCAAGCCCGGGTTTGCAAATGTGTCAATGTGTCCTCCCTTGAACCATGTCCACGGCTCTCCAGGTTGTTTTGACTCACAGTGCCCCTGTATGGACAGTGTTTCCAAGGTTGGACATCTTTCTCCCATTGGGGGGGGGGCTAGGTGAGAGTTGAACCCCTGAGTGTGTTAATACCCCAACCCGACAGTAACTCTCAACCCTGAATGAAAGCCTGCTACCATTAAGTTGATAGACTTACAGGAACCTGGGATTCTTCATTATAGTCACGTGCAGCTTTTAAATTGTGGAAAAGCTACAGAAGCCTTTTCTTGCACGAAGTTAAGGATAAATAAGAGCCTCTGCACCTGCCGTTCCAACTTACCTACACATTCGATTTCAAGACGGAGCCTTTGACCCAGGGCCTGTGGGGAAGCATCCTCGGGCGCTTCGCCTTGGTGTGAGCTGGAACTTGCATGTGTGTCCTCTCAAGGCTGGTAGTCCCATGGGGTCAGCTCCGACTCTTTATGAACAAGAGAACCAACCATGACTTTCACAGTCCACGACCATAACACAGCACTGGGCAAAGACGCCCTTTTCTTGAAAGGCGGGTGCCCTTTTCTTGAAAGGCAGGTGCACTGTCTCGGCCTCACCCATGACCGCCGGAAGCAGGGACTTCAGAAACGGAAGTTCAAAAACCCGTGGTAGGTGGGCCTCATACCTACCTTCGATTATGACCCCCTGTCTTTGCCACGGTCTTGTTTAGGCCCCTATATCTTTCCCACCACACTCACAGGAAAGCACAGTCCTCCTCACTCACACGCTTGCTGGAGCCCCTTCCTTTACTCTGCAAAAGAAGCCCCCTCAGTAAAATTAGAGGGCAGCCGTCTAGGCGGAGATCTCCTCCAGCTGTGATGTGTCTGAAAGCTTCCAGCTGCAGGGCTCCTGGAGGCTGTCCAAAGGACTGTCTCCTTAGACCGAGCATGTACTCCCCTGGGGGACACTCGGCCTGGCCTATCGGGCATCGGGGGAAGTGGCTAGGGCCCAGAGCCAAGAGTTCAGCCAGGGAGAAAGCCTTCAATACATATTTACAAAATGAGTGGCAGCGAATGGCTGTTTATATTCCCATGAACATGCCCCAATAAGAAAAATCACTTTATAGAATCCTTTCTTCACAAATGTTGGTGATACTCACTCCCACCTCATCATCCCTTTGACTAGACCAGATTTCCCTTTGTCTCCCCCATAGGGCAGTGTTCTATTACCCTTGTTCTCCTTAAGAAATACTAAAGCACTGTTGACACTGTACTCTGCCACTGAGTCAATGCGGACTCAACAGGTGGCAGCAGGAGTTAGCCCCGCTCCTTTTGTCTTAAGGACCCTCCTGTTGGCTGTTTGGTTTGTCCTGGGGAAAAGTCTAGGGACATGTTTCTGAAAAGCATAAGCCAGAGACGCTTTATTTACAAAGCCAGCATGTGTGCCCAAGTACCGCCAACTCAGATGCCTGCGCCCTCTTTTCCCTTGGCTTCACTGGCCGCTCTGCCAGTGCTGATTGGGCAAATCTTGTTCCACAAAAAAAGGCACAGGGATTTTCCTAAGCAAGAGAACACTCAGAATCTCCATATCTCTCCATCAGTCTTGTCCCAAGTTTTAACTGCCGCCTCTTCAGTGCTCATGCAGCAGTTTATCGTTCCCGCAATGATAACACCCCGTTCCTTGTGTGGCATCTATCTGTGGCTGCCTGGTGCACAGCAGGCATGCAGGGCTCCTGAGGAGGCCCACCTTCTATGACAGATTCGTCAGATCTTGTTTCACTAAACCACTTCTCATTTCTCAATCGAGAGATTCTTCATCAACCTGTTCTAAGCTCACTCAGCCTCAGAAACTCTCCAGGGTCAACCCCATCTAATAAATACATCATGGACCGAATGTGTAGGGCAACATTCTCGAGATGCCATTAAAGAAAAACGAGACCAAAGAGGGTTAAATGAACCCATTTCACAGGGGCGATGCGCCCATAACGATGAACTCAGCTTGGTGCCCAGGGAGTGTTCCTAAACTTGTCAGTAACCACTATCGCCTTCAGTTCTTATTACACACGTCAGATAGTAGAGGTCTCGGCCTATGCTCCCCAGACTATTCACGGGGACTTCTCAGCATCAAGGCACCCCTTCTTATCTTGGCAAACAGATTCATGAGCCAATATTCTTTTTGAGGTTTTGCCTTTGCGCTTTTGATACCAGGGATTCCATAAGCCTTTATTAAGGATCTACAGCAGTGGTTCTCAACCTTCCTCATGCTGCAACCCTTTAATACAGTTCCTCATGTGGCGGTGACCAACACCCCCCCAACCATGAAATTATTTTCGTTACTATTATGAATCTGGCGACCCCTGTGAAAGGGCCATTCGACCCTCCAAGGGGGTTGTGACCCCCAGGTTGAGAACCCTTGATCTACAGAGTGTCACTCACCACGCTGGAAGCCTGTCCATGTCACGGCTGAAGACTGAGGCAGGCATGGAAGCTGGATGAACCGCATTTAGAATAAAAAAGGTCAGGTCTGGTTCACACAGAGGACTCTAAACTTACCTTTATTTCCTCCTCCAAGAACTAAGCACAGCAGAAACATGAAGGAATTCAGAGACAGTTGTGACCAACTCATGAGTGACTAGGCCATAAATGGGCAATGCTGCCCAGGTTTTATGAGCAGAACAGTATACCAAGACTGGCAGGTAACATGGACATCCTAAGATCAGGTGCCTTTCGATTTGAAAATGAGACCGTTCCAGAAAAACCTGGATGCAGGTTCATGGTTTAGGAATGATTAAGATTAGAGATATTTAAGAGTATGCAGCAATATAATGTACTTGGTATCATTTGTTTACTATATAATACTTTTCAGAGTTTGTCCCTAATTGTTCTAGAACTACATACAGAACTGGTTACTCTGGTGGTAAAACTTACCATATATACTCAAGTATCAGCTGACCTGAATACGAACTGAGGCACCTAATTATACCACAAAACTGCATTTAAAAATGTGCTGAAAAAACTCAGCTTATACATGTGTATATATGGTCGTTTTCATATGGCTCAGGATATCAAGGTCAGGAGCTTCAGAAATACAAACTTCCTTAAGTTTCTGCAAGCAGGCTCAAGAACTCTTGTTGGGGAGGCAGCAATCCACAAGGATGGCCCAGGGGGATGAGATGCTTCCTTAATGCCCCTTTTAAACTGAAGATCCAGTGAAACAAGTGGATCACACAGAGATGACAAATGTTGTTGAACTCTGAGCATCAAAGGCAAGGTTGAAGAATTGGACCAAATGGAAACTGTACAGACATGGAAAATTCAGGGGCATCATTTCCAGGAAAGCAGAAATTTAAGAATGTATAAAAACCAAAACAACCTTAGAAGAAAGATTGAAGGGATGTCTTGAGGCAAACAAATTCACTGTTGTCAAGTCGATTCTAACCAGAGTGACCCTGTTTCTAACAGGACATAGAAAGCATTAGCCAGACACAAATCCTGATGCACATATTGAAAACTGCGAGCCAGAGATGCACATCTAAATTAGAATATCATCATAAAAGAGGGACTAAATAAAGTTTTTACATGGAGACGGCAAGGCACAATCAATAAAATTAACATTTAAGCCAGTAAGATTCAAGTTTAAAGCACATTTCAGGGTGACAATAATCAAAAAGAACAAGAGTGGCAATATGAATGTAGGATAGACTTCAAGGCAAAATCCACCATAAAAGGACAAACATAATTATTAAAGAGTTAATTCAGCCAAGAGGACATAATCATAGTAAGTTTATATGCAAGCAGGCCCTAACAGCATTGCAAAGGGAAGCAGTTCTAGAGAATTCTTCCACACACCGCTCACTCATAATGAAGAACAGAACAACTACAAACACCCAAGGACAGACTTATTCAGAATATTCTATCCACCGCAGCAAAGTGATGCATTCTTGTCTTATGCATGGGGATCATTGTGCAGAACCTATCATATGTTTGTCCACAAAGTAAAAAAAAATACATATAGAAATTCTAAAAGCAAAATACAACAAAAAAGGGTCAAAACCAAACCATTCGTCTTACAACTTATAAGAGAAGCAAGAGAAGACCAGCAAAAGCCATAAAGATTAGGATATAAATCAATCATCCAGATCAGAATTGTTTCTTTGAAAGGATTCCTAAAACCTGGAAACCACTGGCCAAATTAGGATCCTAACAGATTGTACTCCAAGAAAATGGACTAATTTCTAGGAGCACACTGCCTACCTAAACAAAAATAAATGGGAAGGAAAATTGAACAGGTCCATCATTTTTAAAACCCCCAACAACAAACATTCCTAACTATTATGTCTTCCTCTGGACCTGCTTTTCTTAGATTGAAGTATCCCACTATTTTATATGATCATGGTTTTGTGTGTTTTTTTTGGGTATAGGGAAATCAGGATGGGTGGGTTTATGAAGACACGAAAGGGGAGGGCGATAGAAAGTCAACACTGCTGGGTACAAGGAGGAAGAAAATGTTCCAAGGGGGACGGTAGTGGTGATTGCCCACCCTTCTTAACGCGACTGGACCACTGAATTGTATGATGTGTTCATTGTAGCTCAATGAAACTCACGATGAAAACTCCCTGGCCCAGAGGGCTTCTCAGGAGAATTCTACCAAATGTTCAGAAAAGAGCTCACGACTCCTAAATTCATGCGATGATGCCAAAGTCGGGGAAAGATACCAGAACAAAAAAAAAATGAGAACCAACACATAAATGAAAACACTTCAAAAAGAGAATTTGACTAGAGCAGTGGTTCTCAACCTTTCTCATGCCGCGACCCTTTCATACAGTTCTTCATGTGGTAGCGACCCCCAACCATAAATTATTTTCATTGCTAATTCATCACTGTCATTTTGCTACTGTTATGAATCAGGCAACCCCTGTGAAAGGGTCTTTCAACCACCAAAGGGGTCGTGACCCACAGGTTGAGTGCCGCCGCACTAGAACTAAGAACAGAAAGGGGAATTCTTCAACTTCTTGGGATATTCACAAAACCAATGGCCAACCCTGTTCTCAGTGGATGCAGGTTGAAGGTCACACAGGTGAAAGTACAGACTTGGGAGACATCCACTTCATCGACCTAAGAGACTTCAAAAGACAGCGTTCTGCAAACTATATTGACAATAACATCTGTAGTCTTATGAGAGCCTTCTGAGATACAACTATTGGCTTTGTCCCTCCTGGAGCAAGAGAGAGTGAAGAAAATCAAAGACTCAAGCAAGTTTTTGTCCAAGGAACATATGACCATGTGAACAAAAGCCTACATGGTCCTGAGAACTTAAGAAGTACATAGTATGCATCTACCACGTCTGACTGGGATCGTGGCCCCTAGACATCCCACTGGTCGGGAGCAAACCATTCACAGATCCATAAAATAAACATCTGAGATAAAGATATGAGATCCAAAGGAAAATATTTGGCCAAAAGCAAAGAGGAGAAGGCAGAGAAAATCC